AAAAAAACGTTATCTCACTGTACAAGCATCTAAGTTGACTCCCTGAAAATTATCTACCACTTCATTGTGCTTTTGGAAGTATAAACTGTAATTTTCTTCTGAGTGAATTTATGCACTGGTGAGAGCAGCTAGTCAATGTACATTCAGGAATGCTTTCTTCAAAGGCAGATACACAAATTAATAGCAAATTAATCAATTGTGATATGCGTGTTGAAAATCATTGAAAACATTTTTTTTAAATCAATTTATTGCTTGAATCATGTATTTCGGTTTTTGCGAAAAGTAGCTGGGGTGGGGAAACTGCTGTTAGAAAGGGTAAAAATTGAATTTTAATTTAAAAAAAGAGAAATTTAGTTATTAAATTTGGAAACTTTAAATCGCCTACTTTCAGGGAAAATTGAAGCCCTTTAAATTTAATTTGTTACGCCAATCACTGCGGAGGTTTATTAAATAAATGCAATTTATTAATTAAAGTCCGAACACTTGAATTAAATGATGCAGATTCGGTAAAATCAATCAGCTGTCGAGATAATTCTTGAACGTCATTCATTGTGGCGGTTTGCTTGTCAATCAAAAGAAACAATAAGAATATGCAACGTCATTAACGATGATTCATTGCCTGCTTTTTACGCTTGCGAGACAATAAGATATTTTACGAGTTTATTGGCTGCTGATGCGATAATTTGATTTAGCTTATTTGATACAGAAGTGAACCGACGAAGAACGGGTCGTGTTTTCAACAAACATTATTTCTACTTTTTTGCCTCCAGCAGTTTTGTATGTATATAGAATTTTTTCTTTAGGGTAAATTTGCCAGGGCATATTTTTTGTATGAAGCCTGCTTTTCTCGATCCATGAAAACAGCATTCAAAGAGAGCCTCTGTATACTTACATAAATTTGATTCAAGTCTGAACGGATTCAAATTTAGCATATACTGTATAGTCATCAGTCCAAAATAAATGTAATGAATATTTGGACAGTTTTGAAAATATAATTTCAGGATTTATTCCCATTCTTCAATTGACTTATGCACATTTCTTGATTTGATGTTCATGACTTTCAAAATCTGATTTCTATAGACATTGTATAGTTTTGCATCGCAGCAGCATTCATTTCTTTTAATTTGTGAGGTTGGAGGAAATCTTTCGCGAAAAAAATATAGGAATAAACATTTGATCAAGTCTTGTTGGGGTTTCATCCTGAATTTTTTGGACTGTGAAAATATGTGAGCTTGGTGATTATTTGGACATGATATAGTCTCCAACTGTAGCTGGTCAGGAAAAAATCAAGCTCCAATATTTGGCAGTGAGGGGAATCGCAAGGAATTTTTCCCTACTCCCTCTCAACGTTGTCTCATTCGATTTTTCTGAGGAATGAGAATTTCTTGAGCTTCGATTTTATGCGAATTGTAGTACGAATTTTCACTTTTCAATTCAGGCCCATGTCTAAAACTCGGGATGACCGGAACACTTGAAGCCTAAGCAAGGGTGTAAACCGTTCATCACGCCCACCCATAAGCAATAGACGCACACATATGACTCAAGCTTGTTCCATCATCCGTCAACTCGAAACGCTAACCCGAACGTCTGCTGAGCAATCCTGTACAATATTCGTTTTGTAATCCCATGCCTTGATCTTTTGGAGAAAGATTAGCAAATACTGTCTGTGTTATCTCAGGCTCTGAGTTTTTCACGTGTTGGTTATCAGAAGAAAGAAAGCTTCGAAGTGAATAAGTTTACCGAAGTCCGTTCGGCGCCGTGCGGACTTTCGGTGGGAATTTTTCTTCCTCCGGAGAAGGAAGGGAAATCAAACGCCACACCCGGAAAACAAAGAAGAAAGATTGATTAAACGGAACCTGAGTCCAAGTTATCAGCAAATAATTTGCTTTCATGAACAATATAACAAACTGTTCCGTTACTTTTGGGTCTGATTAAAAAATTAAGGCATCTCATGCATGTCCTACCATGACGTCATCTAGTGCGTGGTCAAACCTGATCGTATTTGCGCGCTGACTTGCATCAGGATTAACTTCCGGAATAAATTGGTGAAATTGAGGGACAGGCTGGCGTGAATTCGAAATCTGTCACGAAAATAACTTACTGTAATTTCTAATAACATACTCTATACAGTACTGTATTGTAATTTTCAGGTTCCCTTAGCTTCTTCAAAAAAGTATGCGAGAGATGAAATTCCGCAATGAAACTTGCATATTTTGTTGAATCAGGAGCAGAAATCGGATCCGTGTTTGCCATGCCGATCGCCGGAATTCTCATCGCAAATTATGGATGGGAATCAGTATTTTACACATTCGGAGGATCAGGAATCGCATTTGTATTCTTTTGGATGCTTCTTGTTTACGATTCGCCGACGAAACATCCGTATATTACCGACCGGGAAAAAGCCCTCTTGGAAACGTCTTTAGCGGACGAGATGGCTCACAATCGCAAGGTAATGAAAAGCCCATCCTCATCGTTCCTATTGTGAAATATAATAATGAATGCGGTAATCCACTTGATTTTAAAGGCAGGATACTATGAGGTAATCGACTAATGATTTCAATGCGTCTGGTGCACTATTCGGGCAGTCGTTTTCTTTTTTCTGCTGAGTCTGCTCATTAATACGCCAAGAATCGAGATGAAGAAAATGGAAATGTACGATAGCTCTTCTCAACTGTTCTGTCGATCGGCTAGAAGTCAACACGCATCGATTATATCCCTTGACGGGCATTCATTGAACAAGAAAGGCGTGAATTCCTCAGTACTGTGTCTTATGGGAGCTCAAAACTCATTTTTTGGGAACGTTCATATTGTTTTTCTCGTTATATTCGTACATCAGCTCTGCCGAAGATGACTTTTACCGATCAAGCATTTATGTACGCGCACTTCTCCCTTAATTTGCATAGCTTTTTTGTGTTTTATATTTCTACAGAAATTGCCAGTTCCTTGGAGATCGTTGTTGACGTCAGTACCTGTATGGACTGCGACATATGTCATGGCAGCGAGTGGATGGTCATACTCCGTCATGTTATCCCTGACACCAACATACTTGAAAAACATGATGAACTACGACATTACCAAGGTGGACGTCTTCTGTAAATTTCGATCCTTCTTTTTAATTTCCTGTACCGGACTGTATTTACTGTGAATTGGTGTTCGATTGCGGGATAGGAAGTGTCACAACTTTAAGATGAACAAAAAGCTGCTGCCTATTTTTGTATATTTGTTACGCTAGAGATATCGTGGTTTGATGAAAAATTGTTCCTCGAAGAAATACAGAATGAGATGGAATCGGACGAGGAAAAGTACTCGGATATTAAGTGTAATTATAATTTACAGACTGGAATCATGTCAGGACTGCCGTACTTACTGATGTACGCATTCAGCGTCGGTTTCAGTTACATCATCGACCTGCTGCGACAGAAAGACTGCTGTTCAGTTTCTACTCTGCGGAAAATTGCCAACGTTGTTTGTGAGGAGCCATTTTGTTTATCGTGAACTTCCGAAGCCTCCGAACTTACGAACTTCTTTCGCGTCTTTTTCCCCCATATACTGTACTGTATTTCGAAATGTCAGCTCTTGATCTTTCGGTTGGTGTGACATTTTTGTTTCAGCGCAAATGGGCCAAGGTGTTTGCCTGATCATTTTGTCATTTTCTGGATGCAGTGAAATCATTGCATTGATTTTGATCAACACGTCTGGTTTTGTTTACGGAGCAACTTATTCGGGACACTTGGCGGTTCCGTTGGATCTGTCTCCAAATTTTTCAGGTACTTTTTCGATCTCTATTCCCCCACATTTTTCAATCAACAAACTCACTTTTGCAGGAATAATTTACGCATTCAACAATCTCGGCTTTACATTTCTGGCAATGTTGGGGCCGCTGATTTCGGGGATCATCATCACTGGTCATGTGAGTGAATTGAGTTTGTAATTGTCTACATTGGTACCATGTCTAATGAATGCATTGACAAACAAAAATTACAAATAACAAACCCAAATAAATTTTTAAAAAATAACTTGACTCAACATTTGTTTTTCCTACAGTAAACATCAAGACCAGCACTTGGTGCAATTTGATGCCACCAAAATGGGGAAACTTCTATCCCAACCCAAAAGTTTTGAATCCTAATTCCAATTTTGTTGCAAATGCAGATCTCTAAGTAGGAGTTATCAAATTTTGCACGAGCTTTAGACCTCCAAGGATGATTAGTATTTAATGCGAAAGCAGCACCCATGAAACCCATGCAGGAGTTGATTCATTGCTCTGGCTGCTCCTGAAGTTGCACTTGTTAATAGTGAGTGTGGTCCACGGTTTTTACTCAAAAGAGACGGAAAAGAATGTTTGGAAGAACCTTAAAATGCACCAAGTATTTTTGGAAATTAAATATTCATTTGTAAAAAAGTTCAAGAAATTTTCATGATACAGTTCTATGTCATGCACATAGTTTTTGACAGAATTAGTTAGAGTTGAATCTTGATAACTCAAACCCTCAAGTCCCTGTCTAAATTTCCCTGGAAGCAATGCATTAAAAACCTCCCTAATTCAAAGACTTTCTCCTTGAACCTCCATGACTCAAATTTCCTGGGGGTTGTTCGGCTACATTAATTTATTGACACAAGAAAGACAAACTCATGAAATAATGTATGTACCTTGATGTATTTTGAAAGGAAGTGAAAGACTATGAATGCTTGCCTCAAAGTTCAGCATTTGTCAACTCATTTATGAAAAGCAATTTAAATCCCAGAATATCACCAATTACAATATCTTGTAACTCTCCTCACTGGAAAGACTATCCCCAACTTGAAACCTTGACGGAAAATTTTCTGCTGGTCCCTAAGGTCCCTTGAAGTTTGACTCAAAGATGTTTGACTGTAATTGCTATTACATTGAAGCTTGAGGGAAAATATTACTCGCCAAAGAAATCCTTTGCCTGAATAACACAGTGTTGTTTATTAGACAAGGTACCACTCTAATGCCTGTGTGTCCAAGACAGTTCATATACTGTGGGAAACCTTTGAACCCGTGTTTTAAAATTATTAACGCAATGAATGGTTATTTTTCTGAACTTTTTTCTCGCAGCAAACATTAGCCAAGTGGGCCTTGGTGTTCCGCATAGCTGCAGCCATCAACATATCCAACGTAGTCCTGTTCACCATTTTTGGCTCAGCCGAGGTTCAACCCTGGAATGACCCTCCGTCACAAGATGACTCTACAGAGGAGAAGCATCAAGCAGTTGAGCAGGAACTCGCAGCAGTTGTTTCTTCCGTGTTGGGGAACTCAAAGGAAATCAGCAACAATGGTGTCGGTGCTGCACGAATTAATTCCGCATTCGAATGTTCGCCCGGTGATGAAATCCAGATTGCCCCACCCGAGTCACCAGTAATTACTTCCAAGAAATGATTTTTCTGCGCCAATTCATCAAGCAACTGGATCTTGGGGAATTCGTTTCGAAAGTTGTTGAAAGAAAAGATTGATATTTTGTTTCTACAGCAAGGGATGGGAGTTGATCGGTGACCGAAAATTAGGAGTACATACGAGTGTATAGGACTTGTTGCTTTTTTGTTGATTGTGAAAGCGATAATAAGCCACTCTGATCTTTGAGGCCTTGCACGTGTCTCACATCCAAAAGTGAAGAAAGTTTGTTCAATTGGGAATTTTTAGGCAGGAGGAAAATTTGAAAATTGAGTGGTTCGTAAACTAGGGAGGTTTGTTGTAAATTACTCTCATTGCAGGTAAAAAGTAAATTTTCCTTCGTACAGGTGCCCATATTTCTCAGAACTTTGGCGGATTATTTTAAATATTGCGTTGATTTAATATTCTGAGGGAACATGAAAAAGTGCTTAGAATCGATTGTGGTGTGATGGGACGCGTGATTAATGGAAGCAATGAGTGACGATGCCAAGGAATTCGAAATATTTTGAAATTTTTGTCGGGAATTATGGCTGCGGATAGCAGCTTTATTTCTGCACTGCTGACTGGCGACGTTTTGATGACACGGATCGACGTCGTTTTCCTTTCATCTCCTGTTGGCTTTTCGAACATAGATTTGTCAAATTTTGTGTCATCTTTCGTGCCGCGTTTGAGATTCGAATCAGCTTTTTCATATTCGGCTCGAACCAAGCTTCGTGCATGAGTTTCGTGGACAAAATCCTGTGTAAATGAAAGCGGGGAAAAATGGTGTCCGACAGATTTGGCTTGTCTGTTTATCTGTTGAAGTGTTGCGATGAAGATTTTAATTCGCTTGGAACTGATTTTCCATGAACAAATGCAGGAAATTTGACTGCTTCTTGCTTCTTTCGTGAACAAGAAATGAAGTACGTTTCGTCGCATATCGCTTGTAGTGGAATTTTTAGTCATTTATACTGAATTTTCGCAGCTAATATGGCTCTTTTGCTTTTCATTCTGCAGTTTCGAGAGGGAAACTTACCTCCGATGTTCGGCAAGGGAAGAAAACAGGACTCTGTGAACGGATTCGCAGACTATGTCGAGATCTTCCCGAACGAGGCTCGCCATTTCCAGTGCATCGTAAGAAAGTCCTGGCATGTCGAACAAATACATCCGGGAAAGTTTTGGCAACATTCCGCGTGATAACCAGTGAAGGCATTTGTCCGTGATCTTTGGCAATCCTAAATATTAAATGCATGATTTTCATCAATAAAAAGTGAATCCGAAAGTTTTTATAGGCCTTGAGTGAAATCGTACTTGAAACTATGACCCTCCATTGGAATAGATTACAGTACTGTATTTATAAAGATACATACCCAAATTTGTGGCACTGATCAGATAAATCCTCATCTGAATTCCCTGGGGAAACAATGCATTAAAAACTTCCCTATATTTAAATTTTCTGGGGGCCTTTTGGCTACGGTCAAATCTCCTGTATCTCTAATTTCAATTGACCAGCAAAACATGTGAATATGTGTGGTTTTGTGTTTGGAAAACGGTCATTTTGTTGTGGGAATCATAGAAGATTTGCAGGAAATTGCAATAGTGATATTCTGGACATTAAATCACTTCTTAAATGAGTTGACGGGATATTGCTGAACTTGGAGGCAGGGGTTCATTTGTGCAATAAGTTTTTCAGTTCCCTTTCAAAATGCATGAAGTTTCTTCTTCTGTAGCCTTTTTCTTTCCTGTGTCAAGAAAATAATAACCGAAAGCCCTCAGCAAATTTGATTGATGGAGGTTTGAGAGGAAAAGCTTCTGAGTTTGAGACATTTTCAATGCATTGTTTCTAAGAGAATTCAGACAGGGACAAAATTTGGACTTTGAAAGTTACGGTATTCAACTCAGGGATGAGGTTCAAGTTATTGAGATTACTGCTGTATATAATTGTACAGTACACTACGCGCACTATTTTAGCAATTATGGGGTATGTGTCAACCAGGTGCTCAAACATGTTTTTAGAATGTAAAATCTAAGATTCCTTGAACAGTGCTTCTTAAACTAATTCCAAATCAGGTCAAACAGCAAGTTACCCGACAAAAACAGGAATTTCAAAAGTGGACAACAGGCGTAAACCCGGGACAAGCCAGTGTCAGTGAAAGGTGCTCGCGACGAAATTGACTCGATTCCCAAGTGCTGAAGATGTGGTGTTTCGAGGGACTCGCTGAAATGATCGCTGATACTGTGAGCCGTAACGTGGATGTGTGTCAAGTAAGGGTGATTCTCTTCTGTTGTGGAACCCAGAAACCACGGAGTCGCATCGCCCTCTAGCGTCAATCTTTGTCAATAAAATATTTTACACATATTTCGGCGAAATGAAAACTGCGTTCCGAATAAATCAGTCGATCATTCAACGGATGCCGCTTATCCAATGCTATACGTTTTTGAGAGGCACAACGAAGTAAGTTTATATCTTAAAATATAAAATTTACATCTTTGTATTCTGAAATCGTTGAAAAACCGGGTTTTCTCCCGCACATGCCAAAATAAAAATTTCGTTCTCTGAATCTCGCTGCTCAATTCATTTTTTTATAGTAATTTTGTGCTTGATTTGCAAAAAGTGGATGCCAAAGGTAATCAATCAACAAATTCGAGTTCAATCACCGTAAAACGATCAGGAACCGGAGACTCTTGAGCGCGTGCCGATACGCTGGCAACACTTTCATCGGTGGATAGCATAGATTCAGAGCTCGCAAGTGTTTGAATTTCTCCAGTTGTGCCAATCCCGAATGTGTCATGTATCGTGGGGAAAAGTGAAGAGACAACAGTTGATTGCTTCTGTTTTCTGCCAACAGCTTGAAGCCCTTGTCACTCAAGGCCCCAATTTCCAGCTTTTTCAGCTCCGGGAAACTAGCGAGCAACCAGGCGGTGAGTTTGGCTTCTTGATCATCGTCTACACCCGTGATTGTCACACTCTTTTTCGTAATAATGAAAGAAGAAGAGGCAAAAATCTCAGTTGAACGACCTTGAAAATTGAGCATAAAATTCCTGAAAGATCTCTTTTTTTCCGATTTATAGATCTCTGCGGAAATGGCGAAGGCCGCGTTAAAATTCGCGAAATGGAAGATTCGCGAGTGTTGCTTGTTGAAAATTTGAAAGTGCATGAAGATCTTTCGAAAGAACGTGAAAACGACTTCGTCGGTGATTCAAGTGATTTTCTGTCAATGTCGACGATTTATTGTGAAATGAGTTATGGTGTGATACAGTGTTTGTCGTACCCGAAGATGTTTGCAGTTTTTAAAGTATCCCAGAATCCCGATGTCCGCATTCGAGCAAAAGCTCAAATTGAGAGTTCGCAAACGTTTGCAAAATTTGGCCAACGGCGCAACAGCTGCTGCGCACAATCTCGGGGAACCCACGACTTCCGTGTCAACTCGGGTCCAATTGTTGAAGGTCAGTGTGACCTTGTCTGAGTCCTTATTGTCGTTTCTGTTGTTGATGGATGCACTCGAGTCTTCGCTTTCCCGCAAAGAAATTATTGCCTCGGTGATGGTTGATGCGTATTTGAACGCTTCTGAACAGTAGGATTCTGTCGCTTGTGGTCCAATCTGTTCGAAAAAAATAAATAAACGAAAACATTTGACTCGTTAATGTCAAAAATAATCGGAGAACCTCTAGTGAATCGGATTTTTCTATCAGCGACTCAAGATATGCTTAAACGTTCGAAATCGGTTCTCTTTTCTTCCAATCTAATGTGAAGTAAAGATCTTTACTTCATCTTTTGATAATGAGATTATTACCTGAATTGTTTCCCACCAATTGCATATTTTATTCGTTTTTATCGGCGTCCAAATACATTTCTGCGTTCAGAATATGGAAATGAAGGGAAGAACCTGCTTTTTTCATAAAAGTCTTTTATTCGCAAAAATTCCGATTAAATTACTCACACTCATGCGACGAAAAAATGGCGCAAAAAAATTCAGCACTCCCTCTCATTAATCACGGAGGAGTGGAGTTTTTTTTCATCAGTTCTATATATGAATAAAATTTTAAACATACACAGTACTGAGTATTTACATAATTGAAAGTTTGAATCACGATCAACCGTAGATGTAGACAGACTTTCCATTTTGCCCCGCCGAAGTGTCGCAAAAGCTTTGCGGTCTGGTCCACATGTCGTTGAAATTATCTCCATCAATCAACATGTGTGTGAGGATTGTATTAGAAGACCCTGAAGTATTTTCAAATACATCCAAGTCCACAGCAACGTATGCATAGCCTTCACCAGATATGAAGTTTTTAGTGACAGTTGAGCCATGAGTTCCGAACACTCTGTTCTCAGCATCTGCAAGAAATGAGGAATCAATCATGTTATATCTCAGTACCTCATTCCTAGACCACACTACCATCCAGACACATCTTCAGGGCGAGTTCATAATCACAACAACCTACCAGAAACTGAATTTTATTTTTCTGCATTCTGCTGAAACTGATTTCGGGAGGCGGTTAGGTAAAGTTATGTTAGGTCAGGTTATGTTAGTTACAAATATCTTTTAAATAACATAACCTGACCTAACCTAACTTTACCTAACTGCCTCCCAAAATCAGATTGTACTTTGTGCACCAAACTCAGTTATATAAAATAAGGCACGGAAAGTAGGTACTGAGATAACAGGAAAGTACCAAATTGACTTTCAGAGGTTTTGATTTTTTGAGTAAAGGAAAAAAAACATTTTTGCCGTGAGGAAAAGTAAAAAAAAATTGTAGGAAATTGTAGTTGAGGATATTCTGGGCCTGAACTTATTTTGTAATGCGTTTACAGCTTGCTGAACTTGGAGGAAGGGGTTAATTTTTAAAATTAGTCTTTCACTTCAATTCAAGATACATGAAGTTCAAGCCCTTTTTTCTGGAAAACTTGGAAAAAATGTAAATGGCCATACATATATAGGGGAAGGAAAGCCCCTTTCGCAGCTAAAAATACTACTGGTTTTCGTTCGTTTCATGACATGCGAGGAATACTTGATCCCTTTTCTGCAAATGCAATTTTCATCCTGCAATGCTCACGATTCCAAATTGACCTGCTCAGCTCTTTTTTTTTCAATGCTCAATAAATGATCACGAGAAAAAAAACCGTGGGAGATAATTTAGACTCGATGTGCTGAAAGCTGACAAAAATAAACCATGTTGATAAAAAATAAGTTCCAGTCAAGACCCAATTGTTTTCCAACACAGACTTCGAGTATCAATTCATCAAAATGAAACGTACGTTTCCTCGAATCTAGCGCTCTTGAAACAGAACAACGACAAAATTTAAGGCAAAAACTTCCTTTACTGATAATTTACAAAAACGCAAAATAAGGAAGTTCAAGAATTTCGCAAAAAAAAAACAATCATGTTGAATTGACAGAACAGGAAGGAACTTTTTTTCGTTGGAAGTTGTCTAATTCAACCTCAGTAGTATAGTAGTGATTTCACGATTTTTTGCAACCAAGCTTTCACATGTCTCGAGGCAAACTTCGGGAAAATCAGATTTGAGTGAAATATTGACTCAATGTTTGTTACGCATGCACAAAAGCAGCATTTACCGTGATTAACAATAGGCAGAATAGAATTCAATTTCATTTAGAAATTGAGCAAATTTCGAACGGAGTTACGTTGGCTAAAAACGTCAAGGTTGAGATAGGAATAAAAAAATAAAAAGGTGACCAGAAAAAAAACAAAACTAGCTAAACGACTATCATAAATAAAATTCAAACTAATCTGCCTTTGCCTCACGCGGATGAAATCAAATCAATCAGTTTTACAGAAAAAATAATCCCTTTTAATTGTTAAAATCTCTAAATTTCGCATTTTCTAACAAAAATATGTCCAGAAACTTCCGTGCATCAAGATGAAAAAAGAGGAAATTTTCAGCAGAGTTCCAAATTTCAAATTTTCGAATGTTCCGTCACAAAATGAAATCATCAACCCAATACCTTGATTACCTCATTTAATTAATGATTACCGAAAAAAATAACCCCTACTAATTGTTCAAATCTCTCAATTTCGCATGTTCTGAAAAAAATATTTCCAGAAACTTCCGCGCATCATGATGAAAAAAGAGGAAATTTTCATCAGAGTTCCACATTTCAAATTTTCGAATGTTCCGTCACAAAATGGAATCATGGACCCAATACCTTAATTACCACATTAAATTTCTTGACAGTAACGTGACAAAATAGAACCTAACTTATAATCTTCAAAAAGTTTTTGCAGAGCCTCAAATCGACACAAAAACGCATTGCGAATTGAATCACGTCGACGATCCGATTGAAATTTCTCCACTGCAACGATAACCATTTTAAAAACCGATTCGAAGTAATCCGCGAGTTTCAGTCCACACTGAAATAGCTTCGAATTTTAACGGAATCCATCATTCTTCTCGACCAGGAAGAAAAATTAAGCAGTAAAACCGTCAGAATCGTGTCGAAGTTCGGCTGATTTTTTTTTCCTTTCCGCTCTCGATTTTAAATCAACTATGAGCAAAAACTTCGGCGATTCCACATCCAGAAATATTCGCCACGAAAGCAAAGTATATCAACCAAAAATTATTTGTATTAAAAAAAAGAAACAAATTGTTCGTTCTCTTCCTTTTCCCTCTTCATTTTGATTGAAATTCAAACTTGAACACAGTAAAATCTCGTTACAACAAACTCCCAGGGACCTGTGAAAAAATTTGCTATATTGAGACTAATGATTTTTAGCACATTTCAGACTGGAATTTTATTGGAAATGGGGAATACTTTACATACTTAAAAAGGCTTCTAAAACAAATAATTCAGGACCTAGCATAATTAATGAGTATTGATGATATGAAGAGAAATCTTTTGATGCAAATATAACTCTCCTTCAAATAAACTAACATTTGTACTCAAGTATTGCTTGTCTTGGAAAATAAAATGAAACAAAATTACATATGTTACAAATACTGCACTTCCTCCTCAATCAACTTATCAACTAATAGCTCTTTCAAACACAGAGGAACATTCTTCTAACATACTGTTTATTTGAAAAAGGCATACATTCTAAAATGGATGAGCTAAAGAATTTCCAAAAATATTTCCTGTTGCGCATTTTTTTGTACACCAAGTTTTCGATGCATGAAGATTTATTTTTCAATTTTTAATGCTGGATCAAATTTTTTCTAAATGGTCTCCCTTTATTGAGTAATCCTTATATGGGCTATGCACAGAATCAATCCAAAATTTTGTTAAAATGAGATTACTGTACATCCTAAATTTACTTCGTTATAAAAATAATTTTAGAACATTACGCCTATGGGAAACTGTCAGGACCACAAAAATTCTTTACAACAAAAATTTCGTTATAACGCGATTCGTTGTAACGGAATTCTACTCAATCAGAAATCGAACCGATTCACGTTGCAAAAATAATAAAAATTAATTCAAAGACGTCGCCTTAGTAACATCAAGTTAAATACTGTACTGTAATGTACAATAATTGGAAAAAATGACAGGAATCGTGTTCAGCCACTCCTTAAAAGATTGAACATCAGGATTTCTATTCAAATATTCGCCAAGAAAGCGACGTTTCTCACACAAATATCATCCTTGACAGAAATCAATAAAGTGGCTGAAAAACGAGTAAAAAAGACTGTACAGCATTCGTAAATAAATAAGCATCTCCAAAGAGAGAATTGAAAAAAAATCACCTGGAATCCGAGTCCGATTCCATTTATTTTTTTGGCTTCTTCAAGCTCGACTTGAATTCGAACACGCAGTCCAAGGAATCAACACGAATAAATTTGCAAGAATATTTGCAAAAAACTTTATTGCCGTGAAAAGTCAACAGAGAAAAAAGAAAAATTTCGCTCAAACTGCAAAGCTCGACTTGAATTCGAACACGCAGTCCAAGGAATCAACACGAATAAATTTGCAAGAATATTTGCAAAAAACTTTATTGCCGTGAAAAGTCAACAGAGAAAAAAGAAAAATTTCGCTCAAACTGCAATTTGTAAAAATTTTAATAAACCCTTTACAGCTAAAGTTCATAGAATAGAAAACATTTTTCTTACAGTATGGAACGGTGAAATCGTGAGAAAAAAAAATTTCGGCTATGTCAAATATGAATAAAAATTTCGGAACGAAAAATCGACTTGGCATTGGCCATTTTCCATTTTTAAAACAAAAACAAAATGGACAAGAAAAACAATTGAAAAACTTGAATTCGACTTCGTTTTGAAAATACCTTCAATTTTCCTCCATCGTGTTTTTCAAAATATATTTCGTCACACAGTCCAAAAATTTCGGGAATAACTTTGAAGGCATTTGCTAAGAATTTTTCTTTCAACTTAAAAAATGGGATTCAATTGAATTAACAAGTATCAAGTCCACTTTCCCTTTAAAAGTTCGACTGGAATTTCAGTAATTCGACAAATAAATATTCCGAATGAAAGTGAGTATTTATTAAAAAAAACGTCAGCTTGAATTTATTACCCATTAATCATCAAAATATACCGACAAATGAATTCGAAAAAAAGAAAGAATTCGAGGCCCACTTTTCGCAGCACCCAGTGATCAGTCAACCATTTACACGCCAAATGTTCAACGCATACGCTCGAGATTTCGCATCGCTCGAAAACATGATTTATGTACTCTGCAGGAATATAGTGAAAAAGCAGAATTTTTTTTTGACAAGACAGAAAAAACAATATAAATTACTGCACATCATTCAGATAAGAAGAGGTCTTTTTCTCGTTAAAAAAAATACCTCCCGAGAAAATTCCCGTTTTCTCGCAGCAGAAATTATCTTCCACGAAATTTATCATTTCCTTTCCTTAATTCAATCTTTACGAAGGGTTAGTAAAAAGAAAAGAAAAAAAACGACTTGAACAAACTGTCGTCGTCGATAAAAAATACGATTCAGTGCTTCATGTACGGAGCATCAATTGAAA